CAGCCAGGAGGGAACTCGTCAAATGTCGAAATACAAGATAACTCAGTGCTGATAAATGTCTCCACGACTCTCCAATAATCGTGAAATGTGATCTGTAATACAATGTCTCGTAACCATAGGACAAATGAGATAAGAGGGAGATTAGACTTAGAGGGTGGAAGAGAATGTATCCATCAATGTCCACATCGACAGAACACCCTCAACCCCCACTCCTTCGGGCGTCACCTCACATCCACGTCAGCAAACAGTGCCCCAGAAACGAGCCTGACGAAATCTGATCACAACATAGTGCCACGTAGGCACAGTTCTCCCATGAAGACGTCTCTGCAGCGCGCAATGTCGACAGCATCAACAGGTAAGTTTCCCCTCTCTCACTCAATCAATCCCACAGATCCTGATCTCCCTCCTTGTCGCATCCCCAATCAGCGTCGAAGACAGCGTGGCATGTGCCACGTCAGCAATGCCAGAGACGGCGTGGCAAGTGCCACGTCAGCATCCAAGAAGACAACTGGCGCCAAGAGCAGAAAGGTGCCAGCATGCAAAGCAGCAGTCTCGCATCGTCGTTGCACAATGCCAGCGTAGTGCCAGCGTCTTGCCAGCGTCCAGCCAGCGTCGTGCCAGCTTCAAGCAGCAAGGCAAGGCTGAATGTCGACTCCCAGGGGCTGGGTAAATAAATAGTGTTGACGACGTTGACCAGCCTCTGGTCTCTCACGGACGGAGGCTCAGATTGACTCACAGCCGACGGCCTGGATCTCGTACAGTTGCCGACTTCCACTTGGACCGAATGCTGCCTGGATTCCTGTGCACAACCAAGTTTGTGTGTCTGATCAGTGGCCTGGACTGGGTCCGTGAAGACTTTGACTTGTGAGCCTCGATATTACGACAGACAGTTGACTTCGGTCAACTGTCGGGCGCAGGGCCTCTGAAGCCACATTTCAGGGGTTCTGTTCCCCACGGTCGGACGCAGGGCCTGAAGTCCGTTTCGTGGCCTGCGGGTGGCCCCCTTGGCCGACGACATAGGCATATTTGAGCGGGTTATTGCACTATATTCTTCTCTCGATTTCACCTTTCACTACCTACCTACCACTGCTCTAAGCCTATACAGGGGACCCGTGCAAGCATAGCTACCTCTCACAATCAATGGGCGGATGCATGTTGCCCCCCACCCTACTCGGCGGTGGTCAGGGAGTATGGTGGGGCCACTGCACGGGGTGGCTGGCTAACGCAAAGACGGAGTGTTTTGCCAGTAGCTGCGCCTCCCATCTACTTCTCCCACCCTGATCGAGCAACAGCAGTGTCTATGGCCACACGCAGAGACACACAGAGGCTAACCCTCTTTTCTTTTGTTATAAATGAAATTTCACGGTAGCTGTGGCCGCCCTACCGCCATGCCTGTCCTCTGGATCAAGTCAATGGCCAACCGGTATCCGAACAGAGGCATTCTTGAAGCAGTGCCGACCAGGAAGATTGAGATGTAAGGCCACCATAGCCAAAGGCAAGTCTCCTCCTTGCCAGTTCCCACCTCTTTCCTCCTCCGTCAACCCTTCTCCATCTACCTCCATAGCATAGGGCTCCTCCTCTCTCTCCCTACCACCAAGTTTCCTTCCTGTTGCCCTCTCTTTCTTTCCTCTTGCGGCACAAGGAACTGGCTGCCTCCTCCTTGCCTTCCTCCAAGTAGTATCAGATCCTTACAGGCCGTCGGTCCCCCTTCTAGCATGGCAGCGTGGTTTTCAAAAAAAAAAAAAAAAAAAAAAAAAAAAGTTAGGAGGGAGGACTTGGGAGTGAGTATAGAGGAGAAGGATCGATCTTGAAAGCTTGGAGGGATGGATTGACTTAGAAATGGAACAATAGCACTAGACTTGGAATAGATGTGGGAGAGACTATAGGAATAGACCAAGGAGAAAAGTCAAGTTGGAGTTGGAATAGATTTTTGGGGAGATCAAAGAGAGAGGGGAAAAAAAAAAAGATCTAGACCGTAGACTTTGAGCAAGCCTTAGCCTAAACTCTGACCAAATCTAGAACTCACCAACGATGGAAGGCCATGAACCTAGACCTCTCCCTGTCTACATTCAGTCGATCTCTGACCAAATCTAGAACTCACCAAAGATGGAAGGCCATGAGCCTAGACCTCTCCCTGTCTATATTCAGTCAATACTTGTTGCCATGCGCTTCCTCAAGCTCCACCCGCACCTCCAAAACCTCCGGCCATGAACCTAGACCTCTCCCTGTCTACATTCAGTCAATACTTGTTGCCATGCGCTTCCTCAAGCTCCACCTGCACCTCCAAAACCTCCGGCAAACTCTCCCTCTGGGCAGAGCAGCAGCATGACTGCTTGGTAAATGAGTGGAACACTCGTCAGACCGAATGATATACTTCGGCTGCTGGCCTTCAGTACCTCTTGGTCAGGTAAGTCCTGTCTCTACCCCGCCTCCCTTGGGTGCGTTAGACCCACCGGGTGTTCCTGCCAACATCATTGCAGACTTCTATCTACGTATACGCCATGAACCTGTCTACGTGCAGTCATTGGACAATCATTTAGCTACTGGACATCCACCGGACCCGCTTGGCCCAACTGACTTGCTGGAAGATCCCTACTGGGCCTCCAACAAACGCTACTTATACCCCTGGCCGCTATTCTACCTCCAATGTCTCCCTGCCGCGACTTTCGTCCTCATCCTGGTCCTGCCTTTTTAAATTCAATCCATTCATGTAGATCAATCAGAAATCGAACTCGGGTCTGCTCTCTCTCTCTCTCTCTCTCTC